TTTGTTTGTCTGAAAAGACTATCATTCTTTCATATATGATGCTTAGTTTTGCTGGATACAAAATTCTTGGCTGATAATTGCTTTGTTTAAGGAGGTTGAAGAAAGGGCCCCAGTCCCTTCTAGCTTGTAGGGTTTCTATTGAGAAATCTGCTGTTAATCTTGGGTTCAAAGATCCCTGTGATGTTAGGCAGGTTACCTAGTGCTTCTGTCTCACAGCTCTTAAGATTCTTTCCTTTGTCTGCCGGGCGCGGTGGCTCAAGCCTGTAATCCCAGCACTTTGGGAGGCCGAGGCGGGTGGATCACGAGGTCAAGAGATCGAGACCATCCTGGTCAACATGGTGAAACCCCGTCTCTACTAAAACTACAAAAAAAATTAGCTGGGCATGGTGGCGCGTGCCTGTAATCCCAGCTACTCAGGAGGCTGAGGCAGGAGAATTGCCTGAACCCAGGAGACGGAGGTTGCGGTGAGCCGAGATCGCGCCATTGCACTCCAGCCTGGGTAACAAGAGCGAAACTCCGTCTCAAAAAAAAAAAAAAAAAAGATTCTTTCCTTTGTCTTAACTTTGGATAACCTGATGACAGTGTGTATAGGCGCAAGTTCCCATGTCAGTGGAGTTGTATACCTAGGAGTATTATGGCTGCCTCTGCTGAATCATGCAGGTTGTCAGGGAAGTAGAGGAAAGCCGGCAGTCATAGGCCTCACCCAGCTCCCATCCAATCCAAAGGGCCAGCCTCACTTCCACCATGCCCTGCCTAACAGCCCCATGTCTGTTTCCAGACAGTCGGCAAGCAGGGCTTGAGAACTTTCCCCAGGCTACCTGCCTCCTAGCTGCAAAAGAGAAGGGCTTTGGTTCTTTCCCCACCTGTGGAGTCTGCATGTGGGATTTGTGCCCTCCCCCAAGTTCTGGCCATGAGGGTTCTTGCCAGGTTCAAATATGTTACAAAAGTTCAGCTGGAGATTTTCTTCTCTCTGTGGCATTTTCCCCATGCCTCTGGCTGCTCTTCTGAAAGATCCCTGTGATGCCAGGTAGGAATAGCCTGCTAAGGGACCCAGTGAGCTCTTAGAGCCTTTCCTTCTTCTTCCTCTACCCTTGTAATTCGCTCGGCTCTCTAAATTGACTCAGCTCCAGGTAAGATTGGAAACTCCTACAAACTAGACCTTCAGTTTCCCCAGCTCGGGTGTCTGTTCGGGAATGGAGGATTTCCCTTTCCCAGTTCCCAAATACTTTGGGCACTTACAGTATTTGGGATGTCTTTCGGGTCTTGCAGGAGCAGTCTACTTCCTTCAGAGGGTCTGTGGGTCCTCTTGGGATTCCTGTTTGTTTTTGCAATTGTTTTGGAGCTAAAATTCACGATGCAAGCCTCTGCACTCTGCTCTGTCAGTCCAAGTCAGAGATGCAATCCAGTCCTGCATCGCATTGCCATGGTGATCACCAGTATCTTCTCTATTTTAAGCCAGTCCTAGCAGTAAAGTGCCATCTGGGCCTACTGCATGAGGGGTGTGCAGCACAGGAGGCAGGCAGGGCCAGGCAGTGGTCGCAGTGCTGTCCTAAGAGCCTAAGAGTGGGACTGGAGCCAGGGGACACTGAGGTAGTGATAGTGGTGATGGAGGTGCAGATTTTGGCAACTGATTATTCACCCAAGCTTTACCTTCCCTTTAAGACCTGCCCTTCCTCTCCATTTGCTTTTTCTATGAATGAGACATCCAGTTTTCTAGTTATGTAGATTCAAAGCCATTGAGCCATTGACTTTCTAATCCTTTATATTGAGGCGCCAAAGTGAGTTATTTCTCTTACGTTAATGACTCTTATATGTCTTGCTTTGTTTGTTTTTTGAGACTGGAGTCTGTTGCCCAGGCTGGAGTGCAGTGGCGTGATCTTGGCTCACTGCAATCTTTGCCTCCTGGGTTCAAGCAATTCTCCTGCCTCAACCTCCCAAGTAGCTGGGACTACAGGCATGGCTAATTTTTTTGTATTTTTAGTTCTTTGCTTTATACATGATGCTACTGTCCTTCTCCAGTCTTCCTTAGTGGAAACTGCTGCCTGCTTATTGTCCTTTCCCTGGTCCTTGCTAGCTGACAAAGCTTGTCTTTTATACATGCAGATTGCTTCATGCTCTCCAGTCCTGCCCCTTCCATCCTAGCATGGATCCTTGTTATCTCTTAACCTGGAGTTTTACAGTAATTTTTTAACCATCTTCCTCTCTCTCTTTCTGTGTTTATTTTATATCTGCTGCTGACTGTAATCATTGCCATGGCACACTTCTGTTACTGTATTTTCTTAACAATTACAAAGCTTAGCAGTTAGGATTGCAAAATTTAAAAAATTACGAGGCTTCTGCCTTGCCTGTGGAATAAAGGTTAAACTCTTTAATTTGACATTTAGGTTTAGAAAGCTAAACTTACCTATCATTATTCCCTTACAGACCCAATACCTTAGCCAAACCAAGTTACTTACATTCTTGCTGTTCACCGTCCTATCTCTTTATCTTGGATTACGTGTTCTATTTGTGTGAGGTCCTCGTTCTTCAGGGCTCATTTCTGCTGTCATCTCCTCTGCAAAGCCTTTCTTTCCTTCCAGCAGTCTTTTTTTTTTTTTTCTGAGACAAAGTTTTGCTCTGTCACCTAGGGTGGAGTGTACTGCTGCGACCTCAGCTTACTGCAACCTCTGCCTCCCAGGTTCTAATGATTCTCCTGCTTCAGCCTCCCCAGTAGCTGGGGTTACAGGAATGCACCATCACACCTAGGAACTTTTTTATTTTTAGTAGAGACAGGATTTTGCCATATTGGTCGAACTCTTGACCTCAAGTGATCTGCCCACCTTGGCCTCTCAAAGTGCTGGGATTATAGGTGTGACCCACCATGCCCGGCCCTTCCAGCTGTCTTCCCAGTGAACTTCAGTAACACCATACCTAGACCTCTGTTGTGGTACTTTACTATCCTCTATCTTGTGTGAAAGGTATTTATCAAACTTGCTAGCTCTGTGAGAACTCCCAAGCGTAGACCGGCCGTCAGAGGTCAGGGAAAAATTCAAAATGAAGAATCCTGGGCCCTATACCATTGAGATTCTGGTTCAGTAGACTTGGCGTAGGTCCTAGGAATCTGAAACTTTTAAATGTTCCCAGATTTTTCTTATTCGTGGTCAGATATTTGAATCATTGGCCCACCTGCCCCACTAATTAACTTATAAAAGTAGTTACTGATTTTATTCTTTTTGTTTGTTTGTTTTTTGAGACAGAGTCCCACTGTCTTGGCCAGGCTGGGGTGCAGTGGCATCAACTCAGCCGTCTCCTGGGCTTAAGCAATTCTTTTGCCTCAGCCTTCCAAGTAGCTGGGATTATAGGTGTGTGCCACCATGCCCAGCTAATTTTTGTAGTTTTAGTAGACACGGGGTTTTACCATGTTGGCCTGGCTGGTATTGAACTCCTGATCTCAGGTAATCCTCCTGCTTCGGCCTCCTAAAGTGGTGGGATTAGAGGCATGAGCCACAGCGCCCAGCCACTGATTTTATTCTTTCTTGGATTGTTTTAACTTCTGGGAAGTGTCTTGTCTAAATTGCATTATAAACTCTGAAACATTGGTCTCTCTTCTGTAGTGCTCAGCATAATAGATACACAGTAAATGTTGAATGTTGAATAAATGAAAAGATTGAAGTAAAATCCTTCCATTTGTAGATCTGTAGTAAAAAGTATACTGATGAGAATACGCTTCTTAGGAGAAGTACTAAATAGAAGTTTAGCTAGGCACGGTGGCTCACACCTGTAATTCCAGCACTTTGGGAGGCTGAGGCAGGCGGATCATCTGAGGTCCGGAGATAGAGACCAGCCTGACTAACATGGAGAAACCCTGTCTCTACTAAAAATACAAAATTAGCCAGTCGTGGTGGCACATGCCTGTAATCGCAGCTACTCGGGAGGCTGAGGCAGGAGAATTGCTTGAACCCAGGAAATGGAGGTTGTGGTGAGCCAAGATCACGCCATTGCACTCCAGCCTGGGCAACAAGAGCAAAACTTCATCTCAAAAAAAAAAAAAAGAAGCTTATACAGTAGACTGTTATAGGCTATGCTGAAGAAAAGAATAATAATACCACTTAAGAGAAACCAAGCAATGAATAGCAGAAGATTAGTAAGTTAATATGTAGTCCACGGTGTCACATGTGTGGTATTTACTGAAGATAGAAGAGAAAGAAGCTAAAATAACAGGTCAGTTTTCAAGTCCAGTATGCAGTATTCCTAATGGTAAAAAGTAAGATCACATTTGTTCCATGGAAAAGTGGCCTTTTAAACCTCTCTGGCGGTAGATATTGCTAACTAAGCTCAGCACCCTTTCTTGTTGAGCTTAGATGTTCCCTCAGCATCATTTCCACATAGCCTTTCAGCCAGGACACCAATCAATCACATTATTAGCATGTGATGGAAAATCCTGTATCTAATCTCTGATTTAGTAAATGCTGTTTAGGATAATTCCATAGTTTAAAAAAAATACCTGGTAGAATTAATGTGATCCCTACAACCAAAATTCTCTAGGCACTTAGCAAGAAAAAGGTATTTAAAAACCAGAATGTTTAAAAGGGCAGCTCTTAGATAGTAAACTGTTAGGATTCGCTACTTGATTTCTGGTAAGACCTTCTTTTATGAAATTATGCTGTGTGTTTCCTTATAACTGTCATGTCATTTACTCAGAGTTTTTGTAAGTAAAGGGAAAAAAATGAATTTTTTTCTCAAGAGTCTCTAGTCACTTAAAATTTAGAAGACACTCATATATTAAGTGTCTAATGATACCAAGCTGTTTCTGAAAACACTGGATTAACCCTATCCTTATTGTTGAAATACTGCACTTATTTTTAGTTCTACTGGAATTCTCTTACTCTAATTGTGTTAAGTACCTGTTTACATGCCACAAAAGTTTTAAACCTGTGCCACACTTCATAATTCTCTTTTCCCCTGCCTAAAATGAACCTAATGTGTAATCAGTTTTTCATTTCTCTCCCTGCACTTTCCAGGTCAGATGATGATGATGCGGAGAGTAGGAGCTCCAGGGTGACCCAACTTTGCACTTACTTTCAGCAGAAATATAAGCACCTCTGCCGCCTGGAGCGGGCAGAAGCTCGTCAAAAGAAATGCCGGCATACGTTTAGGAAAGCTTTGCTGCAGGCGGCCAGTAAAGAACCAGAATGCACTGGTCAGTTAATACAAGAACTGCGGAGAGCTGCATGCAGCGGAACCAGGTTAGAGCCGTGCACAGCTACCTATTCCTAAGGGGCTCATCTCAGTTTGTTTTCTTTATTTTGTGAGAGGATAGTTGGAGCACAAGGGGAGATAGCCACTAAGTCCCAAATATTAAAGCATTGTGTTTTGGTTTTCTTGCTTTGTTAAAGTTCTACAGGTGGCAAAATAATATTACCATGACCTAACAGTGAAAGTAAAGCATTACTAAAATTTTGCTGAAATTTGATTAGAATTTATTCATTGAAGATTTGAGAAGGTTACCTGGCTTAAAAGAAAACTACTGTGCTTAGAAATTTTATGTTATTTACAAGTAACAGTTATAGTTTTTTAACTGCAAAAGTAGTATTTCATGTTTATTTACTTGTGTTATTTTAGTTTCTTTTCTGTGTTGTTTTTTGTTTTTAGAGACAAGGTCTTGCCCTGTCGCCCAGGCTGGAGTGCAGTTGTGTGATCATAGCTCACTGCAGTCTCAAACTCCTGGGCTCAAATGATCCTCCCAGCTTAGCCTCCTGAGTAGCTGGGACTATACGCATGTGAAACATTACCCAGCTAATTAAAACAATTTTTTTTTTTTTTTTTTGTAGAGATGAGGATGACAGAGGGAGTCTCCCTCAAAAAATAAAATCAAATAAAATCAGAATGATGTTAGTCTTTCCTAAAAAATAACTTTGTCATATTTATTGATGAGTAAGTGGAATAAGCCATTGAACCCAAATTAATTATCTTGCAGCCCACAGTCCTACAGTGATTATGTTGTTTGGTTGGAAACATCATCATTTATGGGGGATGCTATAAGGCATATCAAAGGGAATCCTGTAGTAGATTTTTTAAATATTAAAGACATGAAAAAGTTTTGGTAATTTCCTTTGTTTTGTTGGGCTTATTTGGATAATAAAAGATATCTAAATTACATCAGCATTTTTACCTTATTTTTTTTTTTTCTTTTTTCTTTGAGACCAAGTCTTGCACTGTCACCTGGGCTGGAGTGCAGTGGTGTGATCTTGGTTCACTGCAACCTCCACCTCCCAGGTTCAAACAATTCTTCTGCCTCAGTCTCCCAAGTAGCTGGGATTACAGGTGCCTACCACCATGCCTGGCTGATTTTTTTGTATTTTTAGTAAAGACAGGGTTTCACTCTATTGGCCAGGCTGCTTTCGAACTCCTGACCTTGTGATCCGCCTGCCTCAGCCTCTCAAAGTGCTGGGATTACAGGTGTGAGCCACGATGTCCAGCCATTTTTACCTTAATTTATCCATGGGATTATTGAAATTCTGACTTTGGATTTATTTTAAGAGGTAATTGGTAAGTTGGAACATAAGGCAATTTTAAATGAAACCAATAGTTATTTCGCAAGTTTATAATAAAGAAAATGAGGGAATGTATTGTACACTAGGCTTGTTAGATAGCTGAGCAGTTTATTAGAGTATTTAAGGAAAATTATCCCTTTGGGCCAGGTGTGGTGGTGCACACCTGTAGTCTTAGCACTTTGGGAGGCTGAGGCAGGTGGATCACCTGAGGGCCGGAGTTTAAGAATAGCCTGGCCAACATGGTGAAACCCCATCTCTACTAAAAATACAAAAAAATTAACCTGGCATGGTGGCAGGCACTTGTAATCGCAGCTATTCGGGAGGCTGAGACAGGACAATCACTTGAACCCTAGAGGCGGCGGGGGTTGCAGTGAGCCGAGATCATGCCTTTGCACTCCAGCCTGGGCAACAGAGCAAAACTCCATGTCAAAAAGAAAAAAGAAAAAAAAGTTATTCCATTAATACAGAGAGCCTTCTATTTAAATCTAGACTAAGAATTTGGGCCTAGCTGCCAGAATAGTAAAGGTTTATTTATTTGAAATTGTATATTATTTTTACGGGACTAAATTTAATGTAAATGACTTATTAAAGAAATCATGGATAAACTAGTAGGAATTAACTGTTTAGTTCTATGATGATCCACTTCCCTACTCTTATAATCCTGATGAATCTTGCAGAAATCTAATTAAGGCACGTTCTAAGGCAGCACCATGGACATATAAACAGTGTTTACAGTTTATATGAAATTAATAACTGAGGTTGAAGTATTACTTATATTTTGTGTAAATTCATATGTAATTTAGATTCTGTGTGCCCTTACCTAACACGCGTAAATCATTTCACTGAAACCCTGAGAAAGATATTAGAAACAAACAACTCAAAATATTTTTTGTTCGTGATATCTGACTTGAACTTAGTATGTTAAGTAGATTTTTTTTCCTCATACTCACACTTGTAAAGACCTAATAGTTTGCAGTGCTTTATAGAGTCATGTAAATAGGATAGGTTTTGTTATTTCTAAGAATTGTCTTTTTTTTTTTTTTTTTTTTTTTTAATTGAGTTTTTTCTTTTTTTTTTTTTTTTTTTTTTTTTGTTTTTTTTTTTTTTGGCAGTTTTATGGGTTTAGCAGCATGAGGCAGTCAATTCCTAATGATGGTGATAATTGTAGTCATGACTAACCACCACTGACTGTTTACTGTTTAACACTATATACTGTATATAAGTGGTTTAGATGTACTTAATCTTTTTATGCTCCCAACAACCCTGCCAGCTCAAGGAACCTTATTGTCTCTGCTTTACAGGTGAGGAAATTGAGGCTTAAATCAGGCCAGGTAACATGCCCATGGTCACACAGCTAGTAAGAGGGAGAGCTGAGATTCAGAACCAGGTCTGTCTAATTCTGTCTACTCTCAGTTCTTCATCACTTTACTGCCTCTTTGTGAAGTAAAAGGAAACAAGACATCACTTAAAAACAACTGATAGACATACTTAAAGCATATTATGATACAGTTATTTGCTTTGAATGTCAGAAAATTAGGGAAATAACACAATTGGTAGTTGTAATGCCTTCTTTCTTT